ATTGGAATCCGTCTTGGTACACGTACACTAATAAGGCTCTACATTTTCATTTAATTTTATAGTATATTTGGAATTTTTACTTCCTCCAGTGCCTTTGAATAAATTTGGAAATAATTCAGTTATAAGTATTGTTCATAATAATAACTTACTTTCATAATTTCATTAATAGTTAATTTTTAACATTTTTGTTTTTAATTAAATTTACATCTTTCCATTTGATAATTTTTAATTTTTCAAGTGTCGGCTTCCTGAGAGATTTTCGTTCATATCGGGAATGAATATTTTGATCTCCTTTCTAATATCCATGTATTTTACATTAACTTAATTTTTCCTTTGGTATTAATCTTTAATTTATAAAGTGTGAATTTTAGTGGCATGCAGACGTATGAATTAAAAATTGCTGAAAAATATTCTTACTTCGACTGGGATTCGATCCCAGAACTCTCGCATTACCAGTACAACGCTCTAACCAACTGAGTTACCAAGACCTATTTCATTTCTACCTTGTCGATCAAGTCTTTCATCAACTCTCCCAATTTCACAATATATGGAGCATTTTTGTGTGTGAATTTATATTTTCAATAATTTTCATTTCATTCATTCAGTAGTGTTCTAACCTACAAATTATCGCTGTGTGCCTGAAGTGTAAAGTGGAAGAAAAATACAACCATACTTTATCAGTACTCCAAATATCCTGATGCCCTACCATTTTTCAAGAAGCCACAGTGTTTTTCAACTTCTTGCATAACCCTTATTGGTGATCCTGCAGTTTTTGTTTCGTGTCGGTTCTTTTTCTTCTTTGAGATCTGCTCGCTGTTCTGTCAGCAATTCTTCAAAGTACTCTTCCCATTGCTGGGGTGTTATTATATTGATAATAATCTTGATTTGTGTTTTCCTCATATTATCATATTAGTAATCTCCAACTTTCTATGTTTCTTTTACCTCCCAGATAAGCATTAATATGCACACAGTTTCTTTCCCATGACTCGTTCTTTTTCTGTACTATTTTATTCCGTACTCTTGCTTGTGCTTCCTTATATATTTCTTTGTCTTGTGTCTTATTTGAACTTAGATACTGTTGGTATTTCTTCCTTTTATCTGCTATGTCTTTCTCTATTTCTTGATCCCACCAATAAGGTGAGGGTCTACTTCCCTTTTTTTCGTATTTGCTAAGGGCTTCAAATGCTGCACTCTTTGATATGTTTGTTATGCATTTCAAGGTTTTGGAAGTTCATACTTCTCTGTAATTTTTGATCTAATCTCTTCATGTACAACCCCTTTACGGTTTGCTTTTGTAGAGATTTCAAGTTGTATTTCTCAGGCACAATATTGTCTTGTTTTTTCATTCCGTTTTCTTTTGCGCTACCACAGGTGGCACCCCTATATGCTCTCACATTCTGGAATTTTATGTTCGAGCTTTGTTTTGCGATAGTGTACCTAGTCAATAATCGATTTTTGTTGTCTAGTTTCATTTTTCCATGTGTACCTATGTATTTCTTTATGCTGAAAGTAACCGCTTAGGATTTTTAGGTTATTTTGTTGGCATATTGCTATGAGCCTTTCTCCATTGTTATTCGTTACATTCTCTCCGAATATTCCGACCACCTTGTTGATTTTTTTTCCTGTTCGTCCGTTAAAGTTTCCCAGTAATATTATTTTCCTTGAAGTTCCTACTTCTATAATTTGGTCACCGAGTTGTTGATAAAATGGATCCTTTATATTAACGGGTTCGTCGTCGTTTACTCCATATATTTCCAAGATTGTTACTCTCCTTCTGAACATACATACATTTAGTTTTATAATTGTTTCGTTTACTGCTTCCCATGATGTTATATGTTTTCTCCATTTTCTGTGTATGAAGATCGAAACTCCTTTCTTTTGGAACCCCACTAAAGAAATTATCGTACTCTCCCGAATTTTCTGAGCCCTGTCCTTTCTTTTTGGACTCTGTGGCAAGCAGATCCATTTTTTGATATTTATCTCTGACATCACTTCATTCATTTTTCTAGAGATTCCTTGGACCTTGGATGTACCATGTACCGATACTCATTGTCCGTTTTCGTTGCCTAGTTCGTCTCCGTTTTTCGGTCCTGCGAGGCTGTTGATTGAGTCTTTTAACAATCTAGATTTTTTTACGAATAATGGGGTATTATCCCGATGCCTCAACCCCCTAACAGGAGGACCAGAGGTAATTTGTGATCAAGGTTGTCTTCCTCTAGCCTTTGATGATTCAACATCCAGCTATAAGGCAGCAGCTTCTTTGCCAGTTTATTTCCAACTTGATGTTACATATAATTAATTCTGGTGGCTGCAGATGGTATGGCTAGCCGAGTATACCATAGCAGGGCTTTTAAAGGGATATATGGAATTAGGCAGCAATAAAAGTGTACCCCTGGTCTGACCTTGACTCAATATTTCTTATTCTATCTAATTCATTTATTGTGTCATTGTTAGAATATTTTTTTCCTGATAATTTATTACAATCTAACTCCTCAATACCTTATCCTTCCAAAGACTTTACTCGACTTAAAGCCACGTATGCTTGTCCTTTCTCAAACAATTTCGAGCCTAAATACACAACTGCGTGGTGTCCAGTGCTGGCTTGGATTTTGTGGACAGTGGAAGCCCACGGCAAAATTAAGGGTAACATCCTCCTTTCAGCCGTTCCATCATTGAACTTTGCTGGAAACTGTATGGCTTTAGGGTAAATAAGGTGTACACGGTCTCTTCCAAAGTCAATTTGAACTGACGGTACATCTGCTTAGTACATTTGAGTTCGACGAAATTGAGGCTAAACAATTTCAGTGATGTATCCGATAGCGCCATTCACCAATCCTTTCGAAACGTCAATATTGGACTGCTATATAACTTTTGCTCCTACAAATATTTCAACTTCTGTTGGTAAGCCTCCAGTCTTGTTTATGTCTGTTATGTATTATGTATTTATGTATATTAGCTAAATTCAAGTTATCTGTTGTTTTTTGTATGGCGTCAATTAGCTGGTCCTGTGCTAACAGCAGCGTTGTGATCGTTCACTTGCTGATTAGTGGAGTATAAGCTAGCGCCTTGTCTATTGCAAACTCATCACTTGGGTCTAATAACTCTTTGTATCAAAATACCAAAATGATTGGCGGTTAGCTCACCGACTCTCAAAGCATTTAATACATCAATAAAAGTATGATCACCTTGCTGACGCAGCTCACAAAGCGTGAACAAACGCCACAGATGCGTGGCTGGTTGGAGATATTCAGGCTGTTTGAATACAGGTGCTCCGGAGCATTTGATAGGAGGCAGTTGCAAAAGATCACCACCTTTACTCCTCCAAAGGACTCGTCTTCACAGTTCTTAATTTGCCTCAATCGGGCGTCAATCATGCACAGCATTTGATATGATACCTACCATAGAAATTTCATCAATAATCAGAAACTCCGTCTGCTTCCATTGTTGCCTTATTATTCACAAATAGTTTCCAGACAAGGGTGACAAACCTGTTATTCGACCATCCTTCTGTACTGGCAATTTCAAGGTACCTACTATGTATGGTAGTTCCATTTATTAATCGTGCGCATACTTTTAATGCATTCTTCATATAGCACCTGTTAATTCGGTCTCGTAGTAAATTTAGTAGAAATGTCTTGCCGACACCAGCTCCACCTGTAAAGAATATTTTTAAGCGTTCTTCGGCACCCGACATTCGACTTTCTATGATGGACTAAGTTAGCATTGTGAAAATTTCTTTTTTGTCCAGCATCCATAGACTGCTTAGCCAGTATGAACTGGTTATCATTCATTGGCAGATATGGAACTTCATCTTTACAGTCTAGTTCCATAGGCTCTTCCTGTTCCATTATATGATTTGCGTATACTTGATTGAACGCGTTTTCAAGTTGCCTGTCATACTAGCGATAGAGACTCAACAAATATTCTCCTATCAGTTCATTCTCATTGCGACAGGGCATATATTGGAGTAGTTAACTATCATAATAGGAATCAGGATCAGAAACTGCTACGAAGTTAGGAACCCGTATTACATCTGGCGTGTTTCTAATAGTCATTTTTGCTTTGTTTGTTAGTTTAATAAAAGGCCTTACTGTTTGTCCAGGCGGAGTATTGAGAGCTGTCACGTAGATTTAAATGGCAAAGTCTGAAAACGCATTCGCAAGCTGAAACATGTCTTTCTTTTAATATGCGCATGCATATTTTAAAAAATTTGCGCGAAACGTCTGTTTCTTTTCTCCTAATTTGTTGAATAGCTCGAGATACTTCATCATCCAGATTCGTATAGGTTCTGATTTTGATACGTATTTGCCGATGTTATAAGCAATTCACCATATTAGTTAGGTTAGAATCTCAAATTGGCCCGGGTTCCTAGTTCAAAAATTAATGCATCGATATCTTATGGGGACTCAATTTTAAAAGCGTCTGTAGACATGATAGAAAGTTTGTTAGGGAAGTAAGTTGAATACATAGGGGGACAGACATTCTCAATTATAATCATTTGTATTTTCAACTCATAACTCTAAAAAAACAATTAGAGCATAAATTGTAGAGAAATATATTCAAAGTTTGACGTATAATGGGTTCAAATACTAAGAAATGCCCAGAACCCGAGATATTCCCGTCGGAAAATTACTCTTTTGAATCTCCCATGAGAAATACACTGTCAAATTTGTTGAAATGTATTTGGGAACCCATTTCAAATTTCGCGCCCATTTTTTCCTAACCTAACTAATATAGTCAATTGACTCGTTAGTACCACATGGTTGTATATCCATATTAGCTTTCCACATTTTAAGCAAAGTAGGACTGTAATTATTTATCTAAAAATCTTCGCTGTTTCTCTTTAGAACGCAAATGCGACCACCATTGTATATAGATGAAGGATCAATAATATGTGTCTCTGTGCATTCCGAGCGAGGGAAGTTGAAACGACACAGTATATTTGTATTGTTATTTTTCGTACAGGTATTAATATGCCGATGTATTCGAAAACTTTTAACCATTAGTTCTGAATTTTCAGAAGGAGTGGCAGTACTACATACTGTATCAATGCGAGCTATTCCTTCAGGTGGGTGATCTTCCACCCAAATAACCATATGCAGATGAGGACATTCTTTATTTTGAAACTCTACTCTCCACCAATAGTCTCTTACTCTACCACCGAATATTTCAACATCGGTTTTAAGGAACTGCATAAGCGCATTTACACGTACCATAAAGTGCCTACTCACAACAACGGGATAGATCTCGAGCCGTTGAGTTTCGTGAATATCTATATCATCTGGGTCAATGTATTGTCTGCCATCATTCATCAGGAGCACTTTTTGTATATCTTTCCAGTGAAGATCGTTGCAGCTCAATGTTGCAAAATAGTTTAGAGGTCCTAAACATCTTATTTGTGCTATTAGGTCACTGAAAGCACTACGCCAATAAGCAGCGGAACGCGGAACCTCTAAGATTTTTTAAATAAAAGTGTAGGTCCTCACCCTCCACTCTTCTAGCACATCATATTGCAATGGTTGACTTGACCAGATAGTACTCAAACATTGAAACAGCACAGATAATCGTTACACTGAAACCTAGTACCAACACCTAGAATACGAAATTGAAAGTAATCCAAAGGACTTATATTAACTGGTCTTTCTTCTTTCAAACGGGATGATTCTGCACAGTAAACGTTGTTCTGCCAGCGTCAGCGCTTGAATCACGTCTGGTATAGAACCTGGATCCAGATTATTCCAGAAAGCCTTTGATGGTGGTATTGTTTTATTACTGCGGTGATATATGTTTTGCAGCGGGAGCATAAAAGTAACGTTGTTTTCGAAGACAATTCTACAGGTAGATATCTAAATGCAATAGTGTTGTATTGTACTCTATGAACTTGACTAAGATAGTAACGTTTAGTGCAAATTCCACAAACGTGTATGCACAACGTGTTAATAGCATTTGTCAAAGCTTCTAGATGATTTTCAGCTTTGCATTGCTGGGTAATATCTCCAGAAACACAACAACTAATGACCGAGAGACCGAAACTAGAGAAAGGCACACCACAATATAGAGAAATGAATAAAACAGTTAATAAGGCCATCCGTAAGGACACCAGGGTTCATAGCACAAATATGATAAAAGAATGTATAGCACAAAATTCCAACATTAAAGTCCTTAGGAAGAACAGAGCCAAAGGCAGAAATAAAATTTACCAACTTACGGATTCTGAGGGCAACCTTGTATCAACAACAAAATCAATGCTGAAAATAGTCCAACAATCCTACACAACACTGTACAGAAAACCAACAATCAATCAACCCTCTAGACCTCCAGTCACTAACGTTGGTTCTAAGGAAATTCCCGAAGTAGACATCGATGAAATAAAGAAGACATTGTCTCAAATTAAAACCAACAAGTTACCTAGAGAGGATAAATTGACAACGGAAATGTTTAAATATGGCGGAAAACCTCTACTGAAGGAAATAAAGGAAAACTTTAATGGGTGCATTGCTGAACAAAGAATACCTCAGTTATGGTAAGACGCAACAATCACACTCATCCATAAAAAGATAACACAAAGCTTGAAAATTATCGCCCCATCAGTCTTATCCCACTTCTACAAATTATTCACAAAAGTGCTTACAAACCGCCTAACAAACAAGTTTGATTTCTATCAACCCCCAGAGCAGGCAGGGTTCAGAAGTGGATACAGTACTGTAGACCACCTTCAGACAATCCGCACACTCATAGAGAAACAACATCCCTATATACATAGCCTTCGTAGATTATGAAAAGGCTTTCGACTGTATAGAGCTTCACGCCATTTTAGAAACCTTAAACAATGCCAGAATAGACCATAGATACTCTGGCATAATATCGTTTATCTACAAAACAGCTACGATGACTGTCAAACTAGATGAAATAACAACGACGAAGAAAATCAAAATGGAAAGAGGAGTCAGACAGGGAGATACTATTTCCCCAAAACTTTTTACACTAGCGTTAGAAGACGTCTTTGAGACGTTGGATTGGAAAGAGAAAGGTATTAGAGTGGACGGTAAAATGCACAACCATTTGCGCTTCGCGGATGATGTTATCCTTGCCCAATCATCGGAATAATTTGTCCAAGGCATAAATCCTAAGCGAAAACGAAGAATTGATTACGGTCAATCAGAAAAGAATCGAAAACGTCAAAAAGTTTGTATATCTGGGTCATGCCATAAGACTCGGTAAAGATAACCAAACAACTGAAATTTTGAGAAGGATCAAACTTGGATGGGCAGCTTTTGGTAGACTGAACTGTATATTCAAGAGCAAAGTTCCCAACAACCTAAAAAGAGACGTTTTCGATAAATGCTTTTTACCGGTAATGACGTACACCTTGGAGACTATGACGGTGACCGCACGAAGTGCCAACAAACTACGGGTTACTCAGAGAGCAATGGAAAGAGCCATGATGGGCATCAGCATCAGCCTTCGCGACCACATTAGGAATGAGGACATCCGTCGACAAACGAAGGTGACTGACATCGTCGAGAAAATATCCAGTTCTAAATGGTCTTGGGCAGGACACTTGGCCAGACAATCAGAAGAGAGATGGGCGAAAAGACTACTATGCAGTGGGTCGACCTCTTAAAAGGTAGACCGATGACATACGAACCATAGCTGGTGAAAATTGGATAAAGAGAGCACGAAACCGAAACGATTGGAAAGTATTGAAAGAGGCTTACATCTTGCAGTGGATGGATAACAGCTGAAGAAGAAGAAGAAGCATTGGAGTACCTTTCTGTATAATTCTTTCTACATGTGAATTCCAAGTTAGGTTTTCTGTTATTATGAGTTCTTGGTATTGTATACTGCTTAACCTGCTTCAGTACAAAATTATTTATTTAAACCACTGGTTGAATTTAATTTTTTCCTGTCCTGTCATATGCAAAACCTTAACACTGTTTTTTCTAGGTAGTTAATCGTTATAGCACTTGAGATCACTATTTATTATTCTTTCTAGTTCTATTTGGTTAGTTCCTGAAAAAACTAAAACCGTGTCATCACAGTACTGGAAGTATTTTGCTCTCAGACCTGGAAACGTTGGACATGCAGATAATAGTGAATAGGTCCAAGTACTGAGCGTTGAGCGACTCCTACTCTGATGTCTGTCTCGTCACGATTTTTTCCATTAAAATGAGTTATCTGTCTTCGTCCTGTTGAGTAGGTTTATTCAGAACCTACTCAACATAGTCACAGCACTTTCCACGAAAACCCATCTTTTTTAATTTTTTTTTACAAGTAATGTAATGTCCACCGTGTCAAATGCTTTTTGGAGGTCTACAAACACAACTACAACTTAATTCTTTAAAAAGTCCGTGGTCAGAAAGACAGCTACCCATTAGCCAGAATTGACGAGACCCATACAACATTGGCAGACTCAAATTGGTTTAACACTTTGAACTTAAAAAGCGGATACTGGCAGGTGGTCATTGACGAAAAAGACAAAGAGAAGATAGCGTTCTCCACTGTAAGGTGGTGGAGTGGTCTTTACCAATTCAAGGTAATGCCTTTTGGACTCTGTAACGCCCCCGTGACTTTTGAAAGCTTAATAGAAATTGTACTACGAAGACTCACGTGGAAAGTATGCGTTATCTACCTGGATGATGTTTTAGTGATGGGAAAAACTTTTGATTAGCACCTACGAAACAAGACGTATAAACTCGTATCCGTGAGGAAAACCTCCGATTAAATGACAAGAAATGTTCACTTTTCCAACAGTGCAATAGACGTAGCCGCTCCATTTCTTGCTACGCGGAGTGGAAACAAATACATCTTGATTTCCATGGATTAGTTCAGCAAGTGACCAGAAGTTTTCACTATTCCAAATCAAGAAACATCTACATCTATATCTCACAAATTTTGTGATATTTGTTGCGACCGTTTCGATAAGTTATAAGTGAACTTTGTAAGTACCTATAAAGTCTATTGGTTGTTACTGTTTGCGTTAGAAAATTCCAGAAGCAACGACGCGCTATGAAACGGAGTCGAACAATAAGTGAAAGTTAATTTACATAAATGGAAGGCCTCAACCCAAACCATCAAACATGCTTAAGTTTATTTTATTTTTGATAATTTCGCAGATACAAGAAAGCAATTGAGGTGGATGGAAAAAATACTTTTACAAATTTATAAATAATTCTGACGTTATTCCTGATCTGTTATTATGCCTACAAGTCTCGACCCAGGAAATACCACTATTAAATTACAAATTTCTATTATTTCAATTTCTATACAGCGGTTGACTCACCATATCTATTTCATCTTTTTGTTTCTTTATGCACAGTGCACCCATTGATATGGTCGAAATCCTTCGAGAATTACTTGACGGTGCAAGATTCAACTTTTATATACGGTATTGTTTCAAAGAAATTTAAAAATATCTTGGAGAAATTTTTGCTTACATATACATTTCTCTAATGCTTCAAATCCAATATCCCGAAATTATTGGTTCTTGAATGTCTTTATATTGTATTTATTAATGTTAACGAATGTCTTTTTTAGAATACCTAGAAATTCTTCCTGCACCTGAGAGAAACAATATTATACAGGTTCCGCTGGGTACGATATAAATATCACTGGGCGCACGTGGTTGGTGCACAATCTGATGGATTCGCATTCCTAGCTAAGTGACGTTATCATCGGAAATGATAAGTTTTATTCGACGAAGTTTTATCGCGAGGAAAATTCTGCACCTTGAACCTCGAATGACATTGTACCATTGTTAATCAAGGTTAGGTGGTGTTGCAATTTTTAATGAGCACTTTGTCAGTCTAAACATGTTTAAAAATGAAATGGTTCTTCGGATCTTGTTTTATAAAGGGAAAAATTGAACGATATAATACACCAAGGTCTTTTGTTATAACATTTCTTGGAAAGGGGAACTACAAGAATGCCTTCTATTGATTGGAAAACTCCAAAAAATCATGCAAAAACTCTGAAAATACCGAAAACTACAGTTAACTTTAATTCAAAAACTCTTAGAAGAGAAATAAGTTGTTGACAATCCACAACTAATTTGTTAATTAACCGGTCGATTAGCTTAAGGTCCGCAAATAAATCTCGATAGGTAGTTAAATGTTGACCCAGTATGTGGGTCAATGCGAAATTCATCACGGATGATGAGATTTTCAACTTTAATAGACTTGGAAATGATGTGATAAAGTTTAATGCAACAATTAATTATGAGGTTCTTCTTTTGGCTGTCAAAAGCAGCTGCTTAAGGTAAAATTTCTAATTTAAGTTATTCTATTAGCCAGGTGCAAAAAGAGGGCGCGTT